CTAAGGGACATGTGGGTCTTGTAGTTGTTAAGGTGCTTTGCCTGATCCCATTTCCTTCGTATTTGGGTATTTTCGATGACAAGGAATGGGTCAGAATATGGGCGTTCCTCAGTTCTTTTGAAAATGGGAGATTTTCATTGTCATCATCAAATTCAAAAGATCTGCAAAGACCATCTTACTCTCCTTCTTTAGCTTGGTAGCGGGGCGACTATGATGCCCCAGCTTGGTTCTTAAAGTTTGCCTCATCCCTCATTTCTTGCCTATTTCTAGGCTGTCGAATCCCCTGAGGTTATTGTTCCTGCCTGTATTCTTGTTGCCTTGTAATGGGAAACGGCTGGGGCCTACTTTGAGGCCTTAATGGTCTAATCCTATTAAACACAATGACAAATTCCTGGGTTTTTGTTCTTGAGCATATTCCGAGGTGAAGTTTCTTGCCTTAGGTGTTAGGTTTTAATAGGTTCGAATGGAGGCATAATTAGTAGACATGTCCATCTCCACTTCCCTCTCGATTGGATTAGGCTTCCTTCTATATCTCCTCATATTCAATGAGTTATCACACAACTCACTTGCTACAAGATCTTGTATGAAGATCTTTCCTATGATGCTTCTACGTACCTCACCTCATCCATGAGGGCTTGGTTCCTCTATGGGGTTTTGCTAATAGGGGTTCGGCCAAACTACTACATGTGTAGAATGATGTGGAGTGTGGGCGTAAGTTCTCTTGTTATGGGGCTGGCACTTAGCAACGCTTAGAGCCTCGTTCGTAACAATGACATTGGACCTCAAAAATACCGAGAGAGAAAGAAAAAAACACTATTTTTTCTTTTAAATCTTTTGCAATTCACTATATAAAATTTGAGGCATACTTCCATGAGACAAAAGTAAACGATCCTTCAATCGTCCTTAAAGAAGATGGCAGAGGTGTGCAACTCTCATAGACAAATTCATCCTCACCAAGATGTAGTAGTAGAAATTGCAGTTATGTAATTAAGATAGAGTAAATAAGATTTAAATGTAAGACTGAAAATATAACAACATTAACTCAAGTTTTCAAATTGCAACTCTTCTCGATAGGTTAGGTGAGGAAGAAAAAGAATATTTTAAAATTTTTTTCTATAGTTTCTTTTGGACGCATTTGTACTTTTTAAAATATTTGGAAGTATGGTTATAATTAGTTCTTTATTTTTCTTTCCTTTTTTATTTTATTTAGATATGAGGGTATATTCGTCATTTCACAACTTCTTATTGAGAAATTGGATGAAAAGTATGATTTTCGAAATTAAAGGTGTAAATAGAAGTGAAAATGCAAAAAAAAAAAAAAAAAGGGTAAGACAGGAACGTTTCACACGATAAACTTCAAACATAGAGATATTTTGTGCTAATAACCCCAATTTTAAACATTAAATTATATAAAATATACTCTTCCAAGTAATATTGTATTAAAAAATTAATATAACATACAATTCTTTTTCTTTTCACAGAATTCTTAAAAATAATTATTTTTACGTCTTCCTATAATTATTTCTTTTAACATTTTCTAACTATACATTTAGAAAAAAAAGAAAAACACTTTTAAATTATCATTCCATACAAGGACTAAAAAGAATAACGAGTGAAGTCATCCCCAAATATCAGACGTGCCCTAAGTAACTATACATTTAAAAAAGAAAAAGGAATAACCACTTTTAAGTAAGCATTCCTCACAAGAACTAAAAAGAATAAGTAGTGAGGTCAAATCCAAGTATTAAAATGTGCCCTAAGTTTCACGCAACCTATTTAACATACGTAACCAATTTGAGCAAAATTTCGTTCCACGCACTCAAACTTCTCTTTGTGCTAGTTCCAAATGTATAGCGCCCCAGGGCACATCTTCAAGTGATAAAAGGGGAGGGTGGAGATATCCAGCTTTACTTGAGGCTGTCGCGTCAAAGGTTCGAATCCTGAAATATGGATTTGGCTCCTGGGTTAGTGCAAGTGTACAAGCAGCCTTCTACCATGTACCCTTGAAAGCATAACCTGCGATTTACCTCCCTCACGATACTCCAGGACAGGGGCGGTGGGGGACACTTAAGGTTGGGGTTCAACCTTTTTAGTTCCAAATGTATAGCTTATTAAGGTTTTTTTTTTGATAGAAATTAAAATTAAAGTTAACAATTAATTTTAATCACATATTTTATGGATCCTACAACTTTTAAACCATATATTTTATCAACTTTGATCAAAATTTACTAAATAACTGATTTTAATCCCCACCAAACAGAGTTTCGAATTTATTTCCATTAGATTACGAAATATGATTCTATTAACATCTTCACCTATATATTCATTTTCCAAAGTAAATCAGAAAGTAATGCAAATTTCCGTTTAGACACAAAAGCTATGCTAATAAAATGAAAAGTTTAACACAATATAATCTAATATTAATACATTTATTCCCTGTAGAAAGTGACAAAAAAAATTACCAGTGACAAAAAGAATGTTAAATTTTATGACTGAAATCACTGTTGTTCATCAAACTAAAACAAGTTTGCAAGAGAACAAGTTTAGAAATAAAAGGAAAAAGGTGAAGGATTGAAATGAAACTTAGCTTGGAGTTAGGTGACTATGGTGTATGCTATTTTTGTACGTGGTGGATTTTTTGACAAGTACTGGATTGAGCCTAAGCTCCCGTTTAATTCTCATTCTTTGATCACAAAAATGAAAAATATGATCGTTATTCAGTACATCATATTATCATATTTGACTTTCTATCTTTTGTGCGGGTCCCGTAATGTATATATTTTTCATTATCATTCTTATAAAAATGAGTATCAACGGGCCCTTAACAAGGAAAGGGTGATGCTATAAATTCGAGTTAATTGTGTCACTCAATTTAGGTATATGTTTTTAATTGGTCATCAAAATTTAAAATGTCGAATTTTAGTTATTGAACTTAGGTTCATGTCTTCGATTGCTCACTGAAATTTAAAATGTCGAGTTTTAGCCACCGAACTTTGAAATATATTGTACATTATTCACTACAAATTCGATATTTTCAAATTTCAGTAGTTACGCTGTGAGTACCGTACGATATTTTTCAAGATTTAGTGATCAAAACTCGATATTTTAAATTTCGATGAGCAATCAAAGACATGAATCTAAGTTTAGTGATCAAAATTCGACACTTTAAACTTTAGTAACCATTCATAGACATGTATGTAAGTTCAGTGACCATTGGAATAATTAATTATAATTAATTCTGTAAATTTACTTTTAGGCCCCGTTTGATTGCACGAAATTTTCCATGGAACTTGGAATTCGAATTCCAACTTCCACTTTTGGCCTGTTTGATTGGATGAGCAATCAAAGACATGAATCTAAGTTTAGTGATCAAAATTCGACACTTTAAACTTTAGTAACCATTCATAGACATGTATGTAAGTTCAGTGACCATTGGAATAATTAATTCTGTAAATTTACTTTTACTGATTCAGTCTGTTTCACATGAAATATCATATCAATTTCGTTTGATTCTTTCAATAAATTTTGGATCTCAAAACCCATAAGCCATTAAATTCTGTAGAAAATTTCATAATCAAAATTGGAACAGCCATGGACGCACAGCAGCAGCAGAGAGAAGCATCTCCACAGCCACCACCACCGCCGGCGGCGGGCGGAGGTGGAGGTGGAGGCGGATTTTTTTTAATTGTTGGCAATGGGAACAAATTTTAGGAATAATTGTAAAAAAAGATATCCCTGAAATTGACAATTTCTACGTAAAACAAAGTCAAACGAACATCAAAAAATACTTTTACTTCAACATTTTCCATGTGAAAAATTTATACAATCAAATACAATAATTTACAATTTCCATGAAAATAATTTCTAGGTAATTCAATTCCTTGGAATTCATTTTCTTTCCATGTAATTTTCCTACTTGTAATCAAACGCACCCTTACTGATTCAGTCTGTTTCACATGAAATATCATATCAATTTCGTTTGATTCTTTCAATAAATTTTGGATCTCAAAACCCATAAGCCATTAAATTCTGTAGAAAATTTCATAATCAAAATTGGAACAGCCATGGACGCACAGCAGCAGCAGAGAGAAGCATCTCCACAGCCACCACCACCGCCGGCGGCGGGCGGAGGTGGAGGTGGAGGCGGAGGGGGAGGCGGAGATTTCACAGCCATTTTCACTATTCTATTGTCCTTCATCGCTATTGCCTCTATGGTATGGAAATAAAACGTATATAGTGCTAGTTGTTACTATTTCCTTGTTTTGCTGATTTCGTATTAAAATCGGGCCTCAGGGTAATCTATTTTTTGGGAATTTTCAGTTCCGTATTTTCTACTGTTGGGGTTTATGTATACGATGCATTATATCGATTCTGAACTTTATATCGGGAATTTAACTTTTGAATTGCTGGAAAAACTGGAGGATGGACTTCTATTATTTGCAGTTTTTGAGTCTCAATATAGTTCCAACCGAGGTTAATTAGATTGCAAAACATCTGAACTCTTGCAGCATATTAGAACTCTTTGTTAAAAGGGATTTGACCATATCATTCGATTCCTTGAAAAATCTTCCAGGTGAAACTTGAGTAACTTTATCATATTTGTGGCAGAAATGGGTAGTAATGCCATACGAATAACGAGCACAATCAAACTATTTGTAAAAAGGCTTTTTGACCATATCATTCATTTTCTTGAAAGCCTTCCTGGTGAAACTTGAGTAACTTTATCATATTTGTGGAGGAGATGGGTAGGAATGGTACTACGAAGGAGCATATTGAAAATGTCTAAAAAGGGACTTGATCATATCATTCAGTTTTTTGAAAGATCTTCCTGGTGAACTTGAGTAACTTTATTAAATTTGTGCCAGAGATGGGTGGGAACTGTACGAATAAATTAGAGGAATAGGGAGTTACGACCAGATTTGTAGAGTTTGTTTAAGAAATAAGATCCGGTGAGGTTCCTTTAGTTTCCGTTGGCACAATAGTAAACCTAGCATGAGCAACCATTATTCCTTAGTTCTTGGTGAAAGTTTTTGTTTCAATTACTTCTCGAGAGAGACCGGTCTCTTCATATGCCTGAAAGATCTGGCTTCTTCCCACCTTAATAAGAATTCTTCCAATCCACATGCTGAACAAAATTGCAGTCTCATCTCACTTCGTAATTCATGTAGTTCTCGATAGAAAACAGGATCTAGATGGTTAGAGCTGTTTGTGGTCGTCCTAGTTGTTTGCAAAGTCCTAACCTCTTCATTAGTGATATCACATTACATGTTTTGCTAGTGTGGATTCAATATCAAGGTCAAGTTTTATTCCTTAATGCATATTGAAAATACGGTTATAGTATGCAAAATACATTGCTCGGAACATTTCACAGGGTCGAAGCAAAGATAAACTAAAATCGTGCTTACCATATAGGCGCGAATATAACGTTTCATTAATTAAAGCTTAAATGACTAACAAAATCATGCTTGAAATTAATGACGGAACATAATATTTCATTAGATACATTGGTACTGTTGGACGATGGTTCATTGCTAAGCAGTGCTTGCTAAGGACTTTGTATCATAATGCATATAAGGTTTCTTTGTTAAATTTTAAATTAATGCTTCAGGCACGCAATTTACATATAATAATTTTAATTAATAGCATGTTTGATCCCCATATTATGGTAAGAAGATATTTTGGAGCAGTAAATTGATGAAGAATATGTGGTTAAAAATAAGGAAAAAGTTTTAAACTTGCATGTAATATTATTTTATTGAAAAATGTGTGGTTGAATAGTATAGAGGGAAAAATATGTTTTGTAAATAATGGGGATCAAACAAGGGCTATTTAAAGATCATTAATTGCCTTTAAAAAATTTTCTATTTCTTTGTACGCGTATATGTCATGCAAAGTGTTTAGAATCCCTATAAACTCACATAATGTATACTTAAATGATACTAGTAGTAAATACATGCGTTGCACGTCTTATGTACGGAATGAATGATATGAGTAATATTTTTAAAGTAAGGTATTTGATAATGTTAAAGCAAATATTAAAATTGTTGAATAAACTGAAAAGTAATATTTTGTTTCCTTATTTGTTTATGCTTGACATTGGTTGGACCATATTTTCAACCATTACAACGTCATCAACCAACTTTGTGGTTAGATGGATATGAAGAAGAATTGAATTAAGAGATGTACATTTGACTAAGTTTAAAATGTTTACTTATAAGTAAGCTAAAGGTATATAAATGATTTTTAAAATACAAAATTACTCATTTTGTTTGTAACATAAAGTTTACCTTAAAAAGTAAAAACAAAAAAGTATCTTATCTAAACACATTTAGGAAAAAAAAAATTAAATACTAATCATGCTCGTCTTATTAATCCATAGAATTTATTTTAAATTAAAAACCAAAATTATATTCAAAATAGATATAGAAGTGAAAAATCTTAAAACAAAAGTTTTCATTTTCTTTTGAATGGGATTAATACAAGTGGAGGAATAAAAATTCTCCCTTTAAATGTATCAATATAAATTTTTTTCTTTTCTTTTTATATTTGTTTTTAATAAGATTACCATCAATTTTTATGTTTAAACAAAAATGAACATGGTATAATTGTAAAATACCCAATGCTATGTTAATAATTTTTTAGAACACATAATATTAATTTTTATTAATACTTAAAAATTTGGTTTTTGTATAAAACGTGTAATTGAGGCGCAAAGCTTGTATTTAGTGGGGTGGATACAAATATGGAAATGGTAAGTAACTCTTAATTATTAGGAGTAATTGGTAAGGTTTTTAAGATCGATGGATAGTTTCACCAATCTTCGACTTGTTTCGTCCTAATTGCTGATTAGGGATGGCAATGGGGCAGGTTTAGGGCTGGAGAGCATTTTCTCGTCCCATTCCTATTTAACGTGGGGCGGGATGGAGAGGGTGCAGGCCGGGGGTGGGGCGAGTGCGGGTAGGGGTGATTGCCTCGTTTACATACCCGTTTAATTATTATTATTATTATTATTATTATTATTATTATTATTATTATTATTATTATTTTTGATACTTCATTTTAATACCCCCATTCATTCAAGTGTGACAATCATATAGTTATTAAAATTTTTAATTAATTTATTTATTTTTAAAAGTTAAATTATTCAAATATATTTGATAAACTAAAGATTTTCTTGTTTATCATTTTTCTTAAATAATCTTAGTTATCATCTTTTACTAGAATTAATGAAATTTCGCAGAGTTTTTCTATTAGGGACTGTTTGAGCCCCATTACTGCTTAATAATGTATTTTAGAATAGTAGATTCATGGAGAATGTATGGTTTAAAAATAAGAAAAAATTTTGGATTTACGTGTAATATTATTTTATTAAAAAATGTGTGGTTAAAAATAAGAGAGAGAGATTTTAAAAATAATGGATCAAATAAGGGCTAAAAGTATTGAATTCTAAAAAGAAAAAAAAATAATTAAACGGAGCGGGGATCCCGTTAACATCCCGATTGAGTGGGTCTCATGGGTATCGGATTTGATGGGTATTTTTGCCATCCCTATTGTTGATCACATTTAAGTAATTTTTTTCTTTTCAATTTATTGTCCTTTGTAGTTAAATAGTTATATTATCTATTATATTAATTAAACGTGCAATTTATAATCTTTGAATAAAATGTTGACAATGTTATGTAAGGACAAAATGGCAAATTAAACGTTTCTCACCTATCTCTTCATTTTATTTTTATATATATTGTAATTATAATATAATTATATAAGTAGATGAATGTTGATTTTAAGTGAAATTCACATATACAAAGAATAAATAATGTAATATATATACATTTATTTATGAAATAATATTATAATTTGTTAAATGTGGCATTAATGATAGACTAATTACAGTTTAACTTTATGTAGTCTCCTTTATAGAGTTCATTTTTCATATTGGAGGACTCGTAATTTTATATTAATTAAATTAAGTTCAATCGCTTAAAATCAAAACTCATCTACATATATAATTATATTAAAACCATTATAAATATTATTTTATATTGTAATTAATCTACCATTATATTAATGCAACATTTAATATATTATATTAACTAATTATAATAAAATTACATCTATATATGTGGGCTTCGATTTTAAGTAGCAAACTTAATTCAAAGAATGTAATTTAAGTAATTAAACTTAGTTTGATTAATGTAAAATTCTAAGTACTCCAATATAAAACAACTAGTATAACACTTAAATGGATATTAAATGAAATGAAATTATATTAAATGGTATTAAATTAAATATATAATGTTAGAATTGACATATAACTAAATATATAAGGGTAAAATTGGTATTCAAAAGTTTCTCGTAATCCATACTTTTAATATATTGTAGATTAATACTTGTTTCAATTTAAATAAGCAATTACATATATAAAAACATATGTTATCAATTTTTATTTTTATTTATTTTTTATTTTTTGTAAATGAAAGAAAAATTTACTGGAATAAAAGTTTGAGAAGGGGAGAAAAATACCATATTAGCTCGAGGTAAAACAGTGACTTTCAATGCTCTATGTAGAGACACGTGCAAGAAAAGAATAAATTAACCACTACATGTTAGATCACAGATCAGTTAACAAAATTTACGGATTTGGTCAGCTCAGGCTATGAAAAATTTTGTTAGAACACCTTAGAGAAATTTATAACAGAAAAATAAGAGAAAAAATACATAAGGCATTTAAAGTAGATACTATATGCAGAGTACCGATCAAGAAATAACCACCTCCACTTTCAATTTATCATTCATTCATTGATCTAGAGCATGTCTCGCTAAAATAAAAGTTACTTTTAAAAAACTTTTTTTTAATAAAAAATAACAGTACTTATTTTCCAAACTGGTACTTTTCATTTTTTTTCCCCACATTCAAAACGTCATAATAAAATGACTATTCTTTTTCAATTAAAACTATTTATGTGCAGAACTTTATTTTATTTTATTTATTATTATTTTTTTCAAAAGTCGAATCTCCCTGCCAAAAGAAATTAAAATTAACTAAGCCAATTAACTTTTCTTTTGATTGTTAAAACATGCTTCAAATGAATATTTAACATATATTCTAGAGAAGAAAAAAAGAATAATTTTAACGAGTACATAAAAAATATAAATATGGGCTCTAATCCCATAATTGTAATACCCAAATTTCAAATAAAATTTGGAGAGTTACATAGCCTTTATTGAGCCCCATTTTTATGGGAAAATGTTTTTTGAGATAGTGATTTTTTTTTTTTGATTGTTAAAACATGCTTCAAATGAATATTTAACATATATTCTAGAGAAGAAAAAAAGAATAATTTTAACGAGTACATAAAAAATATAAATATGGGCTCTAATCCCATAATTGTAATACCCAAATTTCAAATAAAATTTGGAGAGTTACATAGCCTTTATTGAGCCCCATTTTTATGGGAAAATGTTTTTTGAGATAGTGATTTTTTTTTTTTGGAGAATGTGTGGTTAAAAATAAGAAAAAAATTTCAATTTACGTGTAAAATTATTTTGTTGGAAAATGTATGGTTGAAAATGAATTTTGAAATAATGAGTTTTTAAAAAAATGGAAGCCAATCATAGGCATAATATATTTTATTCATAACATAGCTGGATAATACTGAAATAGATTGTATTTAATACTTAAAATTAAGCTTTAAACAAGTTAAACTTTGAATATTCAAAGTTTAAAGTCATGCCACTGGAAATAATTTAATGCTCATAAAGTCTAGTTAATTTGACAAGAAATTGAAAGAAACAACTTAATTGTTACATTTTTAAAAAAAAAGTCTGGTCACACATCATTTCGCCATACTTCCAAACTTGCCCGAACTAACCTAAAATTAGTAATAACATAGGAATTATAAAATACCCAATAGGACACATGCATCCAATTACAATAATATTTTATTAACATAAAATTTTGCAATTCAAACCATCATTTCTTCAGGAGCATAAAATAATCAAGTGATAGCTCTAGTTAAAATAATTTCGTATAGTTCTGGAGAAAAATCCCAAAGAAATCTTGCATTTCATTTCTTAGAGAACCTGATGGTCAATTAGCATTTCACATAATGATGTACATAAATAAGATAATACAGTAAAACGGTAGCCAACTTGTATGTATAACATATCTTACCTCGAAGACTGCAAAAATTAAGCGTGAAACGAAATGGAAGTTGTTGAAATTCTATTTGCTTTCGTCTGTACTTAAATTTTATTTGTTATATGTGAATATAGAAAGAGAGAATGTGAGTGAAGGAGAGTGGGGGAGAGTATATGATATAATGTGAATGAACAATAATATGAGAATAGAGAATGACATATGAGAGCGTTTAAGTGAATGAGAAAGTGAGGGGAATATATAAGAGAGTGGACAATAAATAGTGGAGAGAGTGGAAAAGGACGTTTGAAAATGTATGGGTGAATGAGAGAGGGATGAAAGGAATAAGGGATAGAGAGTTGGAAAAATGGTAAAAGAGAGAGTAAAATAGTGGAGAGAGAAATGTGCATTAATGAGTAGGAAGGTGAAAGATATGAGAGAGAAATAAGCTCTATTCCACGGACATTTCAACTGGGGTGGTGTGTTTATGTCTAATACATGTTGGATACCAACATTTTTTTGGACACTCCCTTGGTCATTTTTCCTTTTTATCAGAAGTATTATATATTTTTAGCTCAAAGTTATTAATAAATAAACAAATAGTTACTCATATTTTAAAAGATTTTAACAAAAAAATTAATAAACAATATAAAAGTAAGGTTAAACTATGTAAAGGAAGAATTTCAAAAATTTTAATCAATGTATCGTCTCAGTACTTGTCGACTTTTTCAACATGTATCATGTAGGACACAAGTGTGCTGATGGTGCATTATAGGAAATAAAGGATAGAAAGAGGAAAAGAGGGAGGAGAGAGTGATGGAGATGTGGAAACGTATTGGAAAATGGGAAAAGTAAAAAAAGAATTAATAAAAAAAAATTAGGTTTTATACTCTGATATTAATTGACGTATAACACAATCGAACAAGAATGAAATTGAGAAAGAAAGAGGAAGTTAGTGGAGAAAGAGACGAAGACGGAGAAAATTGAGAAAACTTAGAGTGAGAAACTCTCTATTTATCCAATATTAAAGTCTAAATGTTACAATGTGTAAGCCCCTCTTTTATTTAAGGTTTAAACTAGTGCAACTTAAGTATGAAAATAGACAAACCCTATTAAGCCTTTGTTTGAGCCCATTATTTTGGGTTTATAGATTTTGGGATAGCGATTTATTTATTTATTTATTTCGGAGAACGTTTGGTTAAAAAGTAGAAAAATGTTTTTGATTTTCGTGTAAAATTATTTTATTGGAAAAATGTATGGTTGAAAATGAGTATTGGCAATTCAAGGCTAAATAAAATCCGAATTATGTTTTCTGAAATAAGTATCCAATTTGGAAAGTAGACAACTAATAAAATACCGAAAATTTTATTAATAACATTAATTACATTTTCTAGAATAATTATCTAATTTGGAACATAAATTAAATAACTTTACTGGATTCTCATCTATAGTAGTCTAATGTTTAGTCATTTCCTTGAAAATATCATGCCCACTTTTTAGTTTATATGAACTGAAAATATTGCTATTACGAGGAACATATGACATGCCCAAGAACCATTTGCAGGTTATTATCCCTACTGTGTCGACCTTAAGGCAAAGCTTAGCTATCTTACATCAAGTTCCCGAAGGCCATGTTGGGGTTTATTGGAGAGGAGGTGCCCTTCTGAACACAATTACAGATCCAGGTTTATTACTGTGCCTTATATACTGTACTTCTCACGTTTATGACATCCTGGATATTTGTGTAGGCATATGTATATTGGGTTTAGGTTGTTTCTTGTTGCTGATTAGCACCTGTTCAATATTTAGGTTTTCATTTGAAATTGCCCTTGATAACCCACTTCGAGCCCATTCAAGTGACCCTACAGACTGATTTGGTGAGAGAAATATTTATCCTTTACAATTTCGAAGTTCTTTAGATGAAGGATTTATTTCGTTGCAATGCTGTTTGAAAATGTATTGATTGGCATCTGGTTTCCGTGCCATGTTATGTACCATGCAGGTGCGGGATATACCCTGTGGAACAAAAGGTGGTGTTATGATCAACTTTGAGAAGATAGAAGTACATCTTTCAGTGCTATTTTCATGTGTTGTTCTTTTGATGCTTGCCAAGTAATTGTGCTGTTGATTACTTTGTTTGTACTAATTAGCATTCCTTCAGGTTGTTAATCGTCTTCACAAGGATTATGTACACGAGACTCTGCGCGACTATGGTGTACAATATGACAACACATGGATATATGACAAGATCCATCACGAGATCAATCAGTTCTGCAGTGCTCATTCCCTGCAGCAAGTTTACATTGACATGTTCGATCAGGTAAGAAAGATAAAATTGAACTCTAGTGTATCGTTGTATTACATCCACTTGCTTATTTTTAGGTTTCTAGCTCCTCCTATGATCAATTATAAAATCTCAAGTATAAAATGGTTTACTTCTTCCACTATTCTTATAGACAACTTTTGGCTCCTTTAAAATGTGAACAAAGGAACATCTAAAGTTACGCTCTCTCAATTATGACTGTGTCAATCTCCACCTGCACAACCATGAAATGCCTTTTATTTTATACTGATGTTTGATCTAATAAAAAATTCTTGCAATAATTTCAGATTGATGAGAAAATGAAAGATGCTCTTCAGGCTGACTGCACACGTTATGCTCCAGGTATTGAAATACTTAGTGTGCGTGTCACTAAACCCACCATTCCAGATAGCATAAGGCGGAATTTTGAACAGATGGAAGAGGAACGCACCAAGGTATTTCTTTAGTCACTTATCTTGAGCCTTCTAAAGTTGTGTAATTTGTTTCTTCAATTTTACTCTCAGCTAATGTCAGTGAAAGGGTTGTTTTGAGGGTCTGCAAGCGTAAATGGACCAAGTTTTGGAAGCGAATGCTAATTTATCTTAACACACAGTTGTTGCTCATAAATTAGTTTCATAGATAAAATGTTTTACAGTCTGATTATTCATTTTTAGAGAAATCTGTTTTTTTTATGAAACTGTTCAACCTATTACTGATTTTAGAGCTTGTATGGCAAAGCTTAAATTATAATCTATGCTGGTCAAATATATTTTTATCAACACATTTCATACGACCCACAACTTACTACCACTTATTATCCATACATACCGTAGGACCCACCACTTATAAGCACTTAAATTACCTCCTCACTTATTCGAGCACTTTAATATAACAGGTCTTGATTGCAATGGAGAGACAGAGAGTTTTTGAAAAGGAAGCTGAGACACAGAAAAAGATAGCCATAAGTGAAGCTGAAAAGCATGCTCAGGTTAGCAAGATCCAGATGGAACAGAAGTTGACAGAGAAAGACAGCTTGAGGAGGCAAGAGGAAATTTCTAATACAATGTACTTAGCTCGGGAGAAAAGCTTGGCTGATGCCGACTTTTATCGGTACATTTCTTCACTTTTTACTGTTGAAGTAGTTTATGCATTCTGGGAAAGGGAAACTTTAAGAGAAATGAACAGTAATTATGGATATTTATGTTCAACATGTTCAGAACAATGAAAGAAGCAGAAGCAAACAAGTTGAAGCTAACTCCACAATATCTAGAACTCAAATTCATCGAAGCAATTGCTAACAACTCAAAGATTTTCTTTGGTAACAAGGTTCGAATACTCTGTCTGTACTGTTGTTAGTTTGACTCTATCAATGAGTTGTTGCTTCTCTTGGCTGATAGAAGTTATTCTGCAGGTACCTAATATGGTTTTGGATCAGAGGCTTCTCGGAAACTTTTTGCAAAATGTAGCCGGGAAAGGAAACGTTGCAGAGGATAGCTCTTAAATTTGGTGTTGGTCCTAAAACTATATGCCCAAGTGAAGGTGAATAATGGGAAAGAAGAATCATTTCAGTTTATGAGAGGGAAAGTTACTGTTCAATGTGCATGAAATATATACCTATGTGCCTGATTATTAAAAGTTTTTTTTCTTGTTTTTTCATCTTACTGCATTCAAATACTGCTTAAATGTAATGTCTTTAATCTTCTTCCTGATTGATTTTTTGTAAGCAGTGTTGTAAAAGGAACGAGTTCTTTCCAGCATAAGAATCGAGTTAATTGTTCCAATAGTCACTGAATTTAGGTCCATATCTTTGATTGGCCACTGAAATTTAAAATGTCGAGTTTTGGTCATTGAACTTATGTGCATGTCTTTGATTGGTCACTGAATTTTAAAATGTCGAGTTTTGGCCACTGAACTTTGAAAAATGTCGAGTTTTGATCACTGAACTTAAGTTAATGTTTTCGATTGTTAATTAAAGTTCTAAATGTCGAATTTTGACTACTGAATTTTGAAAAGTATTGTACATTACTCATTGAACTTTGAAAAATATTATACATTACTCACTAAACTTTTGAAAAATGTTGTACATTGCTTATTGTAAATTCGATATTTTTCAAAAATCAAGAGTTATGCTAGTGCGTAATGTACGATATATTCTAAAGTTTAGTGGTCAAAACTCGATATTTTAAAATTCATTGAGCAATCGAAGATATAGACCTAAGTTCAATGACCAAAATTCGACATTTTTCAAAATTCAGTGGCCAAAATTCGACATTTTAAATTTTAGTGACTAATCAAAGACATGAACCTAAGTTTAGTGATCAAAACTCGACATTTTTCAAAATTCAGTGGCCAAAATTCGACATTTTAAATTTTAGTGACTAATCAAAGACATGAACCTAAGTTTAGTGATCAAAACTCGACATTTTTCAAAGTTCAGTGGTCAAAACTATACATTTTAAAGTTCAGTAGCCAATCAAAGTTATGGATTTAAGTTCAGTGACCATTGCAACCATTAACTCTAGATGCGTCAAGCTTGTCCTGCCTCTTAAATCGATCAATCATATCTGGACTGGATTAGCCAGTCCAAACTGGTGACCCAGTTATGGTTCGAGGTACAGTTTAACCAGGTCCCATCTTGTTTAACCAGGATGAGTTAGTGGAAAATTCGCAGCCCGGTTTGTTAAAACTGGAATGGGTTGGTAATTTTTTTAAGTTATCACTGGTATGATAAGGAAAAATAGGAGAAAAAGAAAATATTGAAAAAATAAAAATAAAAATAAAAATTTGATATCTGTCCCATTCAATAGAGACAAAAGGAAAATGACATTGCAAGAGTGGATGTAAAAGAAGAAAAACAAATATTGACGTAGAGCTCATAAATCATAAACCAGTGATCAAATCGTTTCGGGCTTTATTTCCACTTTCAACCAGCCAATGAAATCTTGGGTGGATGCTTTTAATTTTATTCGCTCTCCTAGCTTTTATCTATTACTATCGGTCTAACAAAGTACTTTTGCATTAGAATTCTTTTCGATTTTTAAGCATTTCACTTTTAATCCTATTCGACATCATAGCTTTTATCTATTTGAGTCGGTCTATCATAGTACTTTTGTGTTGGTGTCTTTTCGCTATTTAACCAAAAATTACATCTGCCCTTGCCATAGCATGTCCAGACTTGAGTTCAAGGACATTCAAAAAGTCACTTATAGACACTTTATTCTCGACAATCTATAAATTACATTTGCATCATTTGTCCGAATGTAATGAGAGGATTTAGAAATATAAACTAGATCAAGCCACTCAAACTTGGGATATCCCAACATGTCGACCAGAGACATAACATAGATCTTTAGAATAAGGATGCGATGGGATGAGATGAGACGTGCATCTTATATCTCTAGCTTGGAGCAAGGCTCTAAGAGTGTTTTTTCCCCCACTTTTGACTCTGAAAGCTACTATTAGGACCAATGATATTAGAGTATCAATTTATATGACATTATATGATATGTTCAATTATAGGGCTGTACAAAAAAATTGTGAAACCGCAAATCAAACCGAAACCGTTGAGAGTCCACATGGACCCGTGTTTTCTTTTCCCTCAAGCCGAACCAAACCGTTTCAAACTGTCTGGTTTAGGTTTGAATTTCAAAAACTGCAAAAATCGAACAGAACCATTTTTAAATTTTTTAATTAAAGAATTAATTTTATTAACTTAAAAAATTTAACAGGCTTGACTTCAAAAAAAAAAAAAAAATACCAATTTAGCATTATAAATTACAACTAGTCTATTAAAATAATCATAGAATGTAAATTATGTTTATCATTATTGACCTATAATTTAATATGTTCACAATACATATCCTTACTCGATATCTAAACTAAACTAAAATTATTCCAAAATCATATGAAATTAAAAAAAAAAAGCATATATTTTCAACAATTCAAATCATAATTCTACAAAACTACGTCATCAAATCATGTTCAAAGTTTCAAAAATTATAATATAAACTCTCGTTTCCTTAACATTTGATGCTTGTCTGCCACTACTGAACGAATCATCATTTGCCTTTGTCTGTTTGTCTACTAGTCTCTACATGAATAACCTCTTTCTCTCCTCTTTCGGTTTTCAATGTTCTTTCTTTTATTTTATTTTTTTAAACTTATTATACACTTGTAAGTCGTGGTTTGGATAAAAAAATGATTGTTTGTATGCCTAGATGATTAATAAACTTATTTGTAATTTGAAAAAAATGGAGGACGGAGCATATTGATTGTGTGAAAATGTTAAAGTTCCCTAACTAGTAATACTACTTTCTACTTCATAAAGTAGTTAGATGATGAAATTCGTCAATCTTTAATAAACCAAAACTTTATCAATCTTTGTACATCTAAACATATCCCGTCCAATCTTTATTTAATATATCACTAGCAAAACGAAAGGAGTTTTCACCAAACTATAATAACAGAATGTAACTATACCTTTATCTAGGGCTGGGCAAATCTCTCGAACCAAACCGACCGAACCGAACCCAACGGTTCTTGTCAAATTAAATGCCCGAACGGATATCTGAATTGAGAATAGACGGGTACGGTTCGGTTCTAGACGAAAAATCAAATCTTTCTATTTTTTTTATATTGAATAAATCAAATTATTTTAATTTTAATTTTTTCTAAACAAATTAACAATTTCTAAATCCAAATTTTTGATCCAATAATTTGTTTCATTTCTAGTTTTTTAATTTTTGGTCCAATTACCCATTTTATTGTCTCATTTCTTAGCCTAACAAAATCCAACCCACTAAATAACCCTAAACACATACACTAAAGTGCATAACGCTGTCTCGACTATCGCAGCCTCGCTGACATTCCAAAACCTATACAATCATCGACCGACGCTATGACCTCTGATCATAGCTGTGACCTCCACCAATCGAAATTTTGACCGTAGTGATCATTTGAACAAAGTAGTCTACTAGTCTCTGACATTTCAAAACCATTGAATGTGTTATTAGTTGTATTTATATAATGTTGTTATAAATGTTAAAAAATTTAATTATAGTACAGAACCGAACAGAACCAAACCGAACCGAACCTGAACGGTTCCATAATTATATTTGGACCCGACTGTTTCATTTGCTAAATACCCGAAAAATTTGGTTCGGTTCGGCGCCCACCCCTACCTTTATCAACCGCTATATGACAATATGAATGTCAAACAAGAAAAGATAAATAAAAATGAAGAAAGATGTATTTGTTCTATTAACATCTTTTTAGCAACCAACTTTGAAAATAATTTATTTATGAGTTTCATGTAAATATGAATGTAACTTAATATTTAACATTATTAGTTCGTTTAAACTTATATTTAACTTATGTTAAATACATTACTATAATGTCGAAAGGTAAACTGCGGATTAAAACCGAATCAAACCGCAAATTATGGTTTGGTTCGAAAAATAAAATGTTTTGATTTGGTTTGAAAAAACTTCAAACTGTATAAAATGATTTGAATTGAAAATATTGCACAAATCCCCAAAATCGAACCATGTTCACTTCTATTCAATTAAAGAAAATTACATGATTCAATTTATTATATTATTCATTTAATGACACTTACTGCAATCTAGATTGGTGTTAAATAATTTATTCTATAAAAAAAATTGTCCGGTTGGCCGAGATTAATGTCGGACTAATGCTATTTAGGACCACTAACACCAATTTAGATGACATTCAATTACCGATTAAATTAAATGAATTACATAATTTTAAATTTTAATTAAACTTATGGCATAATGCCAGAGAAAGTGGTCTAGCAATGGTAGGTAGCATGATTCTTAATGTCCTCGCATGGCTCGGTGTTAACCATGAGATTTAAGAATGTTACACAAACTATTCCCAGCACAACACACAATTGAATATATGATCGTCTCATTATTGCATACAGGATTTGACGGTTGTCTGTATAAAAATCGTGGCCAAAACTGCCCCAATAATGACGCTCCACTCATACCCATTTTGCTTGCGTTCTCAACGCCAAATCCAAACCCCTTTGTGTTTTATTCATTTGGGTTTTTGCAATTTTGTCCCTTTTCACACTTTCAGTTACTGGAATTCAGACAGTGAATTTGCAGGTGAATTGGAGGTATATTTTTCGCCTTTGAAGAGTCTTTGTTTATGCGTTTGTGGGGTCTATGCAAATAGTGATTTTACATCATCTTCTTTTGGTAGTTGTTCTATTTCTTTCTTACCTTTATATGACAGAAATAATAATGAGATTGTGAAATTATTTTACATTGTTCCAGCATTTCCCGTCATAGTAATCAATAAATAGTAAGAGAATAATTGTCTTCAAGACTTTGAATTTTGGATTTTGTTTTTTTAGGAGTTTTGTCAATGTTGACTTCAATATCAGTCTATTTTAGCTCTCATTGTTGGTTTTCTTGACAGATTTTGACTTTTCTTTAATGCTTGTTTCATATTTTCTGATTTTTATCTTGCATTGTTATTTTTTCATAATGATGACAAATGTCAGTTGGGCAAATAATTAATTGTTCCTAATTACAGCGATTTCATAAATTTGGGCTGCTTTTTCTTAATAAAGATAAACTCTTCTGGCATGATTGATAGGGGGATGGTTTGGTAGGTATGATTTGATAGGACTGGAAGGTTTAAGAAAGAAGCTACAATCTTGTTTGTTATACTACAGACGTGATCTCCCAAACACTTTCACTGCTGACATGGCAAGAGAACCTTACTTATGATTCTCTCAAACTCAGAGAACTATAATTAGGGATCTCTTGCCACGTCAGCAACGAAAAGTTTTTATCCTATCCATTGGGAGGCAGAATAACAATTTCATTTTATACTGTCCATTCTCGTCTTATAGTGCATAGCTAACTAACATAGGCTTTGTGTTTCTATGGCTACCCTTTTATATGTTTATATCTGATGGACTTGCCTTGTCATTTTGTAGGACTTTCAAGTGTTCCTTCATTGATATTGCTTCCATCTGAGAGGAAATTGTTTGTGGCTTTGAAGATGTATCTGGTGGAAAGCAAAGGAGGTGCAATAGCATGCATGCTTCTTGCTCTATTTTTCTTAGGAACATGGCCTGCCATTTTGACTCTACTGGAAAGACGAGGCCGTCTTCCTCAACACATTTACCTCGATTATACGATCACGAATCTGTTGGCTGCTGTTATTATTGCTTTCACATTCGGTGAAATCGGGAAGAGCACAATTGAAAAGCCAGATTTCTTAAATCAACTATTTCAGGTGCGACTGCTCATATTCATTGTTTTGCTAATATTTGAGCTCAATAAAAATTTGGTGAAAGTTAGCAAGAAAAACATTGCAAATCCAAAAATATGCTTGACCTGAAAGTGATGTGGAGGCATTACCACAACTTAATGGCAATCTGAAAATGAAGATAGGCCTTGTTTAGAAGGTCAAACAATGTTGATGTTCCTCTACAGTTAAAAGGTGATATGCTGTCATACAACAGCAACAAATTGATATTCTCTGTCATGTATTATCATGTTTCATTTTACTATTTTTTCCTATAAATTTACCCAGATCTACATTGTATAAAATCACACCAAGAATAATACCCAAATTTTGTTCATGGTTCCAATAGGCACTATGGATATTTGCATTGAAAAGGGGAAAAACAAAGAATGCATATAGATGGGGGAGATAGTGTTAAAACTTGGGGTTCCATCTTAAAAGGTCAACATTGTTAGGAGGAGTAGTCTAAGACATTATAAGTTGGACTATATTTTCATCTTTATTCGATGTGAGATTATATCCCTTAACACGTCCCTACAAGATGGTGGCTCGTTTGAGCAGACCAATTTTGAAATCCGTATGCTCATTTATTGAGTCTTAATCGGATCGAAGTGCTCGTTGGAGTTTAATGATCTCTGATACCATATTAAGATATGGTGTTTCATCTTAAAAGGTCAATCTTGTTGAGAGGAGTAGCTTAAAACTTTATAAGTTGGTCTATATTTTCATCTTTATTCGATGTGGGATTATATCCCTTAACAGATAGAGGGGTTGCTGTGGATATAGCAATTTGCTACCATTTTCGACATTTTTGTGCCCTTTGAATTATGTCTCCTTGTTCTAGCCCCTGTCTTAATCTTTTAACTTTTCTATCATTTAGTTCACTATCAAGTTTTCTCAATAACTATCAGATATCCAGTTGCCCAACTTCCCTGTTGATTTTACCTATGAAACTGTTGAACCACTTAATCTAAAAGTTTAATATTATATCATTTAAATTTTAAACATTGTCTTAAACACTTCCCATTTATTTTTTCCTACCAAAAGCGTAACGCATGCACAATTTTATTTAAATGGGTGGTGGAAAGACTTAAACTCAGGACCTTTGCTGCTTTGATATCATGTTGAATCACTTGATCTAAAAACTTAAGTTTTGAGATAGTGCCCTATTTATATCATTTCATTATCGTTTTAAAAAAAGCAACCTTAAGTATTCCGGTAGAATATTAAGGAGTGATTACAATATAGCGGATAAAAACCATTGACATGTGCTGATCAACAGGACTTTTGATTGCACGGTCATATTTTTTTATTTTGCCAGTTTTTTCTAGAAATGCTATTACTAGTGCGTTTATGGGGGTGATGATACAACAATAGAAAACTATTCACATTATGCCCTTGTTTGACACCTTTTAAAATTTTAATACATTTTTCTCCCTCTTCTTTCCAACCTCACATTCTTCAATAAAATAATATTACACGTAAATCAAAAAAAATTCCTTCTTTTTTTAACCACATATTCTCTCCAAAAATACCATCCATAATACATTTTACCAAAGTTACTCTTTATAATGGGTGTCAAACAAGTGCTATATATAAAGTAGGTCCCTTTCTTGTTGGATGGATGGGCACAATCTAAGGTTACCTTTCTTATTCTAAGTTCTTCTGTATTTTTTGTTCAGGGATTCACATTTAAGAAAAGTCAGATTTTGAAGAAAAGTCAGATTTTGTTTCTTATTTATCCTATTCACTATAGTTCACAAGTTGAAATTTTCTTACGCTTCTATTGCAAATTGATGTAGGATAACTGGCCTAGCGTATTGTTTGCAATGGCAGGTGGGATTGTCCTCAGCCTCGGAAACCTGGCAACTCAATATGCTTGGGCATTTGTGGGTTTATCAGTGACCGAGGTGATTTCTTCGAGCATAACTGTTGTTATAGGTATTATATTTTACAGCACTGAATTCTTATGTTCATAAGACCATGGCTTGATGAAGTTATAAATATAATCTGGCTCTGCTTGTACAGGAACAACCTTAAATTACTTCTTAGATGACAAAATTAACAAAGCTGAGATCCTTTTTCCTGGTGTTGGATGCTTTTTGATTGCTGTTTGTCTTGGATCTGCCGTGCATGCGTCCAATGCTGCAGATAATGAAGCCAAGATTTCTAGATTCTCAAGTGATTACAAAGCTGGGACAGCGTATGTATTCTTTGTTTTTTATGACTACTTTATTAACAAGTAGCGAACTATAGAGTTAATAGCTGAAGTAGTTGAGATAAAGTTTCTTATGTCATACATCAGTTTTCGTTAAAACCTATACAGTGAGATGAAATGAAGGAAGAATAATATGTGCTATTGTGTGTCTTCTTTCTCACCAATTTGAACTTTTCATGAAAAAAATTTGAAAGAATAGCATAGTGATTTTGCATTAGGTCCATCAATAGAATATTGATGCTCATAAGCATGGGTTGAAATAATTGTCAATGATGAGCAGCAGCATGTAATGATATTTTGAAGAAGTCGATATAGGCCTATGCATTTTGTCCTTTTCCTTAGTGTGAAACACGGAAGAATCGAAATCTTAGATCAAAACACTATGTATGGATGGTATGACTTCGAAAACTAATATAGAATAGATCTATATATTACTTAGCTTGGCCGAGAATCCTTTTTTGAGACCTCATGCAAATATCTTCTTTCCTGTAGCATGTACTACTACTAGAATTTTCCGAAACCTACTGGTTGAACCTCTGCTCTCATCATAAAATTTGACATGACCAGGATTAGTAAAAGTTCTGAGAAAATAATTGTTATTCCCTATGTTTCAGACTTCTATATATTTATAAGTTTGTGTGCTCATGTGAATTTTCGAACTAACTCGATCAGGAGAAAGGATGATTCTGTCTCCAAGACGACATATGCAAACAGGGGTAAGAGGATATCTGCCAGTTACAATTTAACCTCTCACATTCCATCGTAGTAGACGCAATCTTTTTTGTTCTCTATTCGTTTGGGGTACTGAACATCCATAATTTGAACAGAATATTCTGAAAATGAAATTGGTACCATTGAGAAGGCGAAGTTTGGGACTGCACATTTTCTTATGGAGCTTGAGGAAAAAAGGGCTATTAAGGTCTGTGAACATCTTTTTGAGTTGGATTAACTATCAAATTCGTCTAAAATGAGAAGGTGTTATTGATTATATAGGATATGTGTCTACATAACTGGTGGCGTACTCTATCTCAATAAGGAAGCATATAAAAAATTCCAGTAATTAATAAAGTTTTGCATTCTGCATGTGTACATACTTTCAGGTTGTTGGAAAGGGCACTTTCATTGGCTTGGCGATAACTTTCTTTTCCGGAATTTGCTTCTCTCTTTTCTCACCAGCATTCAATTTGGCGACTAATGATCAATGGCATACTCTGGAAGACGGTGTTCCCCACTTAAGTGTCTATACTGCATTTTTTCACTTCTCAGTATCCTGTTTTGTGATCGCCATCATTCTGAATGTCAATTTCCTGTACAACCCTGTTCTGAACTTGCCCAAATCGTCATTGAAGGCCTATCTATCAGACTGGAATGGTAGAGGGTGGGCCCTTTTGGCTGGACTTTTATGTGGGTTCGGAAATGGTCTTCAATTTATGGGAGGTCAAGCTGCTGGATATGCTGCAGCAGATGCAGTTCAGGTTAGTTCCATTATCTTTGGATTTGGATATTGAGACCTCTAAATTAGCTTTCCCTATTCACTTATGTAATAATCGATGAACCATATTCGTAGATTGTTTGGCATAAAGTTTGCTCTTTCATTTTACGTTTTGGTGGTAATCACAGGCACTTCCACTTGTCAGCACCTTTTGGGGTATCCTTCTGTTTGGAGAGTACCGGAGATCATCAAGAAGGACATACGTATTTCTCATAAGCATGTTGTTAATGTTTATCGTGGCTGTTGGCGTCCTCATGGCTTCATCAGGGCATCGAAAGTAACCGCAGTTGTGTGAAGGAAGTGTCTCTTGTATATCAGCGTGCCAAGCTCACTAGCTGTTAGGTCGACACACTAGAGGCATACGCTTGTAAATGGATACTTTCTTTCATCCTCGTTTCTTTGAATATAATTTCGAAATCTTGATATCTTCTATGTTATGTTTCGATATGATTTTAATCCATTCGATGCATTTCGACTTATTGTTGAGTTGGCGTGCAAGTGTTGATATTATTTTGAATCTCTTAATTTTTCTTAATTTTTATTTTATTTTTCTTCTTTATAAATATTTGATTTAAGAATGGCTATTCTATCATTTTAAGGCATGACCATGTTAATTTATGATGAAAGTCTAACGACTAGAGTACAATTTAAGTACAAAACGTATAATTTAACCTTCAAATGGTGCAAAAGTACACGTTCTAACATATTAAATACTATCAAGATCTTTTCTTACTGCAGGTAAAAGAATAACGATCAAATGGTCGATCATATATTGAAAAATTTAAAAACAAAAACTAATATTTCTTTTTATTTATAAATTTTACATATCTAGATCTATAATTTATAATATATTAAGTATCGCATGAATTGAAAATCATTTTTTGGTTGATTTATCCCATGTATTTTTAGAAAATTTTGATAATACCCTTCACTAAATGCAAATTAAAAATTTTAAGCCAACAGACTACCATTAATATTGATTAAAATATAATGTGTTCATGTATTTGAGAATTTTAGTGAGCATGAAATTAAGTGAATTATTAAAATGGATGAACGATCCTATAAATAAACTAACTTTTTTCTTAAATTGTTGTTTCCTCTCAAAGTAACATTTTTAATTTCTTATAAAGTGATACTGAGTTAGTCTTTACTTACTATATTATATAATATTAATAATTAATAATAAAATAAAAAGGCAACATGAAGAACAGAAAAGTGCACGACGTAATTAATATCTTTATAGTGCTATAAAAAATTATATATATAGTGCTATAAAAATTTATATATATATATATATATATATGGCACACCATTTAATAATAATAATAATAATAATAATAATAATAATAATAATAATAATAATAATAATAATAATAATAATAATAATAATAATAATAATAATAATTCAGGATTAAAAATCATATAATAGTAAGAAACTCAAAAGTCCCACTATGTATGATATTAAAATCACAATAAAGTTAAATAAATAAATAAATAAAATCAACTCACACGTAGCAAATATATGAGGCATATATCATTAACATTTACAAAAATTATATATATAGTGCTATAAAAATTTATATATATATATATATATATATGGCACACCATTTAATAATAATAATAATAATAATAATAATAATAATAATAATAATAATAATAATAATAATAATAATAATAATAATTCAGGATTAAAAATCATATAATAGTAAGAAACTCAAAAGTCCCACTATGTATGATATTAAAATCACAATAAAGTTAAATAAATAAATAAATAAAATCAACTCACACGTAGCAAATATATGAGGCATATATCATTAACATTTACAAAAATATTAAAAATAGGGTGTAATGCGCATTTAACTTAGATTATTAATTTATGTAAGTGTGAATTATGCAATTATTTTAAGAGTTAACGCTTAAAGTGTGAAAATCGTATTGTAAAGTATTGTTATTTCAGGATATATTTCACAATCATTTAAAAATAGAAAAAACCAATTTCAGACCCGAAAAAATTTAGACGGGCCTGTCCAATCCGCCACACATACAAATTGGGTCGTTTTGAACAAGAGAAAATTAGGTTGGGTATGATTTTCAAGGAACACTTGTCATTAAATTATAGTTCAATGCTTGACAGTAATTATTTTTTTTACAGACTCATTTTTAACGACATATTCATACAATAAAATATTGTGCTTCTAAATTCAACTAGGTTAATTAGCACACAACATTATTACATTTCACTACTATTATGAAAATTGTCCATACCTTTCATTTTCGACTTTTTCACCCTTAGTTTCACACTTCATTGCGCAAAAGGTAATTTTTATTCATTTTCTCAATTAAATCTTATAAAATGAAGAATATATCTTTCTATTTAAATAAAACAAAAAAAAGAACTAATTACAATCACAGTTCCAAAAATTTTTAAAAATGCAAAAAGTCTCAAATAAATTATTAAAAAGGTAATTAGCACATAATATCCCTACCTTTTACTATTATTGTAAAAAAAATGTCTATACATTTCATTTTTTTGGCATTTTCACATTTAACTACACATTTGATTGCATAAACCATAATTTTTATCCATTTTATCTAATTTCTCAATAAAAAGCCGTGAAATGATGAATATATCCTCCTATTTAAATAAAATATAACGAAAAATACAAGAATTAATTGTAACTATAGTTTCAAAATTTTTAAAAAGTGCTAACAATTCTTAAAGAAAAAGTACAAATGAATTCCAAATAAATTATTAAAAAATTACACAAAAAGATTTGAAAAAAAATCACCCGGAATTGAAAACCATGATTGGAAAGTGAAAAATCAATTTCTTCTTCGTTAATCTTTGACCCAGACTTTGAATCTCCAATCTCTCGTATTAATCACCTTTGAATCCCGTGCTAGCCTCTTTCTTGTGGGTAAAAATATGTATATTATGTAGCTCCCCATTTTAACCATCCTTTCTAGTTTAAATAGTAGGTTAAATTTGATTTTTATAAGAATTTAGGTTAAAGAAGGATGTTGGATTGTTCAGGCCAGAAATGGCACCGCGTGCCCATAGGCATAACCACCACACGAGCACCTGATCCAAATGGTTCTCGGGTCAAAATTTTGGTGTCTTTTGTGCGTGCTAGTTTGCGTGGGGTTGTCCCTAATTAGTGTTTGGTATTTTGTTCATAACTTCTCTTTCAATATCCGATTGAGACGATTCAAAGTGCATTGAGAAGCTAATTCAAAGGGCTACCCAAAAAATGGGTCTTAAATTGAGGCTAAAAATTCGAAGTATAACTTTTTCGATTGGAAATTGATTTATGAAAATACTTTAACTATATTTTTCACTCCTTTGACTTCAAATTGCATCTCATTGACCATATGTGATCTTTAATTATTATTTTATGGTCCAAAACAACTATTGAATGTTTACACTTCTGTCCCCAAACTTTGAATTTCTTTCATTTTCGCTCATTTTTCGTTCATTTCTTTCAATTCCACCAATTTGCATTTAGTTCAACATAACAAACATAATTAACACATAATTAAGTTATAACTCATTCTTACTAACAAATACTCCAATTTACTGGTCTAGATATGTGTACAAAATACGCTTATCAAATGGAGATTTTGATCGACACAGAGAAGAGAGGGCGTCGCTCATCGAAGAGAGGAGAACAAGCTCGTGTGGTGGTGATGATTAGCGACCAAAGAGAGAAAAAGGATGCACCGCTTACAGCATTATGTGGCGGTGGTGATTGGTGATCAGAGAGAGGAGAGATAAGGGAGAGAAAGAAGAGTGATGAAAATGATCTAGAGTTTGGGTGGGATGGGTATATAAATTAATTTATAACATTATTACTATTAATATTAAAATGTGAGATTATTGCTTGATTTTTGTCTAAACAAACCCTAAATTTGATTTTTGAAGTTGGAACTTAAAAAATATGGGTGCCAATAATTTTCCCTTATTCTTTTTTAGCTCACATTTGTCTCCTTTCAAATAAAACTATTTAATTCTCATATTCACTTTCAACATACATTCACGTAATAAAACATTTTGAACGTAAATTAGAAATATCTTTCTACTTTTTATCTACACATATTTTAGAAAATTATTATTCAAAATTTTATTTTTTCAAAATAATGGTTATCAAACAATGGCTTAAATGATTAGTACTGAAAAATGGGCGGATCAACCCAAACTTGAAGGGAGGCCCACTTGCAAGAAATATTAAAAAAACAGAGAAAGAGCACCTCTATTCGTTAGCATACGCGTCTTGCCGTCTTCTGAGGGACGGAGAGGAGGAAAAAGAATGTGGAGAAGAAGTTCGTTCTTGTTTACAAAAAGGCCCTTTTCTTCAGAACCAGAGATCCCAAGCCTTTATTCATTCCTCCAACCATCAATTTTTGCTCTAAAAAGAACCACAAAACCCCAAGAATCCTTGCAAAAAACCCAAGAAAATCCGGCCCCAAAATCCCTTACCCAATCCCAGAAGTCCGATTATGAAACCACCCTCAAAGAATCCCTGTTTAACAACAACACAGATGAGGCATGGAAGTCGTTCAAGACTCTCACCAATTGTTCTTCTTTCCCCAGTAAGCCCCTTACCAATTCTTTAATTACCCATTTGTGCTCATTCTCTGATACTCATAATCTCAAGAGAGCATATGCGTCAGTAGTTTTTGTGCTTGACAAGAGTCCACATTTGTTGGAGTATGAAACTGTGAATGCCCTTTTGGATTCTATGAGGATTGCCAACACTGGTGCTCCTGCTTTTGCATTAGTCAAGTGCATGCTCAAGAACAGGTTTTTCATGCCTTTCGGAATTTGGGGTAATGTTTTAGTTGACATTTGTAGAAAAAATAGTAGCTTTATTGGTTTTTTGGGTGTTTTTAAGGAGTGTTGTAGGATAGCCGTGGACGAGAAGCTGGATTTTATGAAGCCTGATTTGGTTTTGTGTAATGCTGCATTAGAGTGTTGTTGTCGCGAGCTTGAATCGGTTAGTGATGCCGAAAAGGTTATTGAAACAATGTCTGTTTTGGGCACTAGGCCTGATGAATTTAGTTTTGGGTTACTTGCTTATTTGTATGCCACTAAGGGGCTTGAGGAGAAGATACTTGAGTTAAAAGGATTAATAGGTAGGTTTGGTTTTTCTGATAAAAGGGTTTTTCTTCAGCATCTGATTAGTGGGCATCTGAAATCTGGTAATTTGGGATCTGTTTCGGCCACGATTCTGTTTGCTTTGAAAGAAGGAGAAGCACAGGATTTGAGGTTCAGTGAAGAAACATATAATGAGGTGGTCAAAGTATTTCTCCAAAATGGGAGCATTAAGGATTTAGCGAATTTGATTATTGAGGCCCAAAAGTTAGAATCTTCATCCATTTTGGTAGAAAGATCAATAGGATACGCTATTATCGATGCTTGTATTAGTCTTGGATTATTGGACAAGGCACATAACATCCTTGATGAAATGAGTGCTCA